GATGCTTGTCATCAAGTGATGGTGGCTCAGGATTTTCATTGGTGTTGAGCGGAATTAGTATTGGTGGTGATGCTGGATTATTGTGCTCTGAAAGAACGCAAGTACACGAAGAGAGTACGGACGTACTTGAAGTGGGAGAACAGGAGAAGATACTTGCCTGTGGGTTCAGGCGGCCCACGTCAGCTGCCGCCAGAGGCTCTTCGAGTAGACCCGGTACATCCCTGGTCAGGGCCGACGTGGGTTGCCTCGCGCTTGGCGAATCCCGCAGTAGAGTTTTGTTGATTTGAAGAGTTGTCTTGTTGTTCTCGTATCTGGATGATTCTGAGAGATGTTCGTCGTCATTTGATGGTAACTCGGGATTTTCATTGGTGTTGAACGGTATTCCCTAATAAAAATTGTATGGTTAATTTGCTTAACGACGTGTTCTGGGTATCATCCAAACCATTTGCGGAATAGTTCAATGATTTAGGTTATCGTTCGTTTATGGTTATTTTTTATTAAGGTTGGTACTGATGAGGATGCTGGATTGTTGTGCTCTGAAAGAACGCAAGTACACGAACAGGGCACGAACGCACTTGAAGTAGAAGAAGAGTAGAAGATACTTGCCTGTGGAGTTAGGCGGCCCACGTCAGCTGCCGCCAGAGCTTCGGGTAGTCCCGGTACATCCCTGGTCAGGGCCGACGTGGGATGCCTCGCGCTTGGCGAATCACGTAATAGAGTTTTGTTGAATTGAGATGTTGTCTTGTGACTGCAGATATCTCTGCTTACGCTTTGCTTCTGTGTTTGGTGGTATAGTTGATCATACAAGTCCGCATTGCTGAGGCCATTCAGTGGAAGCTTTAGCACTTTGTTTTCGGCTGATCCCCAAGAGGATTTGTTGGACACTGGGTGTCTGCCGTAGTCCCCACAGGTGTTCATTCCTGACTAAGGCCCAACATTGATGCTAGTAATGGTGTCGTTATCCAATCGGTTTCCAAGGTCATGGTCCATTTTTATGCCAGAGTATTCGTTGGTTTCAGAGTCATATCGGGGGTCGTAGGTCGTGTCAGGGTCCATAGCCGGGTCAAAATTATAGAGTTGTGGTTGTTGGTCAATTAATTTCTTTTGGATTGATTTCGGTGGGTTCTTCCTAAATCCGAAGTCGAACCTCCTCTTTTCCTTTCTGGGGAGTCCGGTGGGCTGTCTTTCTTGTTATCAACACCTTTTCTCTTGCTACTTCTAGTAGGGTCAATGTCCATATGATCAGGTGTCTTGTCAGTATGCTTCTGGTCGATCCTCTCAAGACTAATGTGAAACGCTTTGGATGTTGCTTTCAGAGCCGATTCTCTCGGTTGACTAGGTGCCACTAAGCGAGCTGCTTTCACTGTTGCTGCCAGAGGTGAAATTCTCAGAGCATCTGTAGGTGCATCCTCGCTGAAATCATTTCCATTCGAGTCAATGTTTGACTGATTTGTCGAGCGATGAGGGTCACGACGGTTTTTGCCTATCTGAGACTTCAAATTCGATACCATTTGTTTCAACGTTTCGATTTCTGCTTTGAGTAGCCCAATTGTACGATCCTTATCCTCTGCTTCGATACGGAGTCTTGATTGCACAGCGCTCGCGTAGGAGGAGCCTTTATTGGCTTCACGGAATTCCCGTCTAGCTTCTGCGTACGTTAGGCCACGATTCGTTTTTAGCCGAATAATAGCTTCTTCCTCGCGATAGATTGGACATTCCTTGGATGTTGGAGAGTGTTTTTGTTGACAGTTTTTTACAGTACGCTGGTTTAGTGCATGGGGTTCCCTCAATCAATTTGTGTGTACCTGAGCAGTTTAGGCATATGATTTGATTTTTGCTATCGTCGCAGTTCTTTTTTGTGTGGCCGAAGTTTGCACAGCGATAGCAGAACATTGGAGATTGATAATATTGCCGTACATTAATCCGAAGTACACCAAAATAGATGTACTTTAGTAAAATCGATCCATGGAATGTGACAACAAGCAGTGGTGTGTTGGTGACGGTTTTTGCACGACGTTGTGTCATACGACGTACACTACACACTCCTTGCTCTTGTAGGTGTTGCTTAATATACTCTTCAGATTTGTCTGTAGTATCCAGATCATACACTACCCCTTTTTATTCCTTTGGTTTGTTTTTTCCGTCGATCTTGTTTTCCGTGCTGAGCACCAATGCTACCGACGTGCCAGGAAGGCAGCTCCCACACCTGGACCCTACCTATCGACCCATCAACTCATGAACCGGGGACCAACGGCTTTACTTCCCATCCGAAGGAAGACGTGATCAGAGATGTTATGCCTCAGAACATCCCGGCGGCGCAGACTGGGATTGAACCCAGGCCTTCTGGGGTGAGAGGTAATCACGCTTACCACTACACCACCGGCGCCGTTTATACACTACCCCTTGAACAACAATTAACCCAGGGTGTTCTATTACTTCCACAGGAGTGTGATCCGGCAGTTCGGAGATTTGTTTCAGTTTTTCGCAGATTGATCGTGACTTTGTTCGAAGAATGTATCGGCTACCTCGTGCTTCCTTTGATGCATGGACTTTTCTAGCATCAACAGAGCCCAGGGCTAGTATTACTGCGCTACCGATCAAAAAAGGATTGGATGGGAGGCTGAGTTCATTTTCGTCACTATTTTCGTCAGGTGTTTGACGTACTCTAATTTGTAGCGCAATAACCTGTCCGAGCTCATCTTCGCCTAGCAACCAGTCAGGTAATGTTCCCTCATCCGGTGGGTCACTGGGGGGTGCACGGTTGTGGCCGACCATGGGGCCGGAGAAGGGCACTGCGGCTTATGGTTTCACACTCACTTAAAAACTTCTATGCCAAAGAACCGAGAGCTTCACGGGTTCCCAGCTAGTTACTATACACTACTTGTTGCTAATATCAATAGAGATATGATGGTAATTTGTTTGCTTTGTAGCACTCCAGATTCATCATAAGTCTAAATAATAACACTTGGTTCACAATTTTCCGGCACTAATGGATCCGTTGAATTGATTTTCGTGAAAAAATCCACACAATAATTTTGATATTATTCACAGCGCGAAGTAAACAAAACTGTAGCTTCGTGTGGTGATAATTTGCGACTGTGCGTCCTCTGATGTTTTTCTTTGACTTCTCTAGAAATCTTCCATAGTGATCCATGGAAATTCTCATCAAATTTATGCATTAAAGTTCATAAAATTTGAAACTTTTGCAAAAACTTTGTTTTTTTTTTAAATCTGGGTTCTTGAAAATGTAACCATGTTTGATTTCATTTGGTCCAAGATTTCAAAAAAATAGTCTAAGTTTAAAATCACTAGAAACTCTCTATAATCAGAACCTTAAAAAACACAATCCAAGCCTGAGCCTTTATGTTGTTACTGAAGATCAATTCACTCCAGATTTTTTTTAAATTCCGTCGAACTTCAATATATTCTATTCTTATCAATTTGCTTGATAATGAAGTTTTAAAATACCCAGAGAATTCCAGATTTTTTCAGATGAAATAAAATTCCCTAAAGATTCCAGGATTTCCAGGTTCCTCCAGGTTTCGAGGTTTTTTTTTAAGCTTTCCAGGTTCCTTGTTTCCTCAAAGCTGTTGAATTGAATTGCGGTCTTCGGCATAGTAGTTTGTTCAATCTACTACCGAAGTTGTTTTTGATTCAGCTCCAACCTGGATCAGGGTATCAAAAGTTCGTCTGTATGTTGTGTGACAGCCCAACAAACATTGAAAGTTGCATAAAAGCTTACCAAAACAAACATTTGCTTCTTCTGCTAGAAAATGGCTTATTCAGCTCTTAGGCTGTGTTCCATTTGGTGAATTTTTATTTAAATTTGACAGATTATTTTTTTTCAAATAAACCTGCTATTTCAGCAGACTAATTTCTGACCGATCAGGAATCAATTTTGACAAACACCTTCACGAAAACCGGACAGAGGGATTTTCGAACAGTATAATTTATTTTCGAAATGTCAAATTTAAGTGAAAATTCAACATATGGAACACAGCCTTAATCAGCTCAAATTGTGTGTTGGGAACAGTGTTGGCAAAATCATTAATCAAATAATATTTTTCAGCTCTCATAAGCTCTTAATATCACGCGTGAGATTGAAACAAAATATCATGCTTGATATTGATTTTACAAGCTCCTTTGATATTGCGAGACTATTCACAACGCGCACAAATCAAGCTGAGAGCTGACTCGACACAAACATGATTCCGTTCCACATCGTTTTCTTAGAAAGGCAAAGTATAGTTTGCTATCTCTTTTTAATCTTCACCGATGGCAGACACGAAAGGACTTCTGCAAGCCTTTATGGAAGGTTCGGTTCTATTCGGGTGTAAAGCAAAAATCATTAAACTCAATCTCACCACAGTTTGGTGAGATTTGCAGTTGGTGAGTTTTGTTAGCTTGATACTCCGAGCTGCGATATCACAGCTTCCAAAATCAACCGCAGATGTTTGCTTGTTAATTTTTGTCTACGAAAATCAAGCGTGATCTTGGGCATTGGTGAGATTTGATTTTTTGATAGTTTTCCAACACTGGTTGGGAAACGTCTGTTTGATCGTTTGTTTTAAAAACCTACCCCAGATCGATGTTTACCCTGACAAAAAGTTCGGCTTAACAAACAAATTCGATGAAAGTCTAAGGTATGGACAATATTGAGCAATGTTCTCTTGCAAATTCAAGTGTTGAGGATCTTAAAAACAGATCGAGTAAGCAGTGGGGATCAGGGGGTTTTAAAGTTGACCCACCTTAGTGGTGATATCCCGTCGGAATCTGCACAGTGAGCAGATAATCATGAGTTTAATCCCAAACCGTCAAAGCTTTGCTTTCCTTCGCTCTTGTTTTGAGCGAAAATAGCATCTGTCAACGTCCTCTGGATCATCACTTTTTCGCCCCTCAAAGTTGCGAGCTGATATGCCATGTCCGCCATATTGTAGTGAAATCTCATTGTCATTTAATGTTATACGATTCTGGCAGAAACCTGCGCACGGTGAGCTTACCTTTTGCGAGCACGCCTCACGGCATGACTGTGTGGCTGTTGTCATCGGTTTTCCTGCATTCACCAGCGCCGTCGGCTTTGGCGGTGGCTCTTCCCGGTGACCGCCATCAGCTGTCAGCTTTCTATTCGCTGTCGCTGCGGCGTCACCATCATCTGCGGTCACTATCGCCGTCGCATGGCCTACTGGGACGACGCTGACGACCAATGTTGCCGTTGTCAGTAAACAAACCATCAACCCGGCTGACAGGTTGAACTTGATTGGCCCCATCGCTGTTGGACGATGTTGACCCCCACGTGTTGTCTCCCGTTCAGCCTTTGCGCTGCTGCACTGCCTCCAATGCCGGTGTGCGATATCGATCTTAATCGCTGAGAATTTTTCTCCTTCGCGTCTTCGATGTAGGTAGACAAGACACACACGCGAAACCCGAGAGACCGTGAAAAATAATAATATACCCCTAAAAAAAGAACTCTGCACGGCTCGAAGACGCTGCTGAGCTGCTTCTCTGCTCACATCACACACAGACAGAAATATTTCAAACTTCTTAATTATATAATTGCATCATTTTTCATGCTTCTTCTTCTACTTCTTATTCTAGTGCTTCTTCCGATGATTCTGATTCTTCAACCGCTTCTCCTCCAGATCACTTTATTTATCTTTTTCTTTCGCTTGCTTTCCTCCTTGCATTCGCGAGTTGTTTTCCTCCACCGCAGTACGTACGTCGAAGGGGGTACGAAGCGACGAAACCACGACCGCACCGCGTCCGAACCACAGGACAGGTCTCTTGCTTTGATAATTTATTAATTCATGAGACAACGACCGACGGCATCGCAAAATTTCCGAACCACGTTTATCCGGAGCCCTTTTCCCAGCAAAACAATGCTATGTTTACACTCGGCTAACCCTTCCGATCTGTCAAAACGGACGCTCTCGCTTACCAGAACCAACGCCTACTCCGTCCTAGTTCAAACTTACCGCACCCGTCACGGATATTGTTTCAATAGTCAACTATTGCAAAACAACGCGTTTGTTACCTATCAACATAGTAGAAAAACAACCTTCCCGATCAAAGCCCAGCGAAACCGCCCCGTTTCTCGCGTCCGCTTGAGAAAACCATTCGGTGCAAACTGAGAATTTTGTTCCTTTTTCGCAGGTTCTGGCTTGGTGTGTTTGTTGGTGTGCTGGCCCCGCAGCCTCGCATAACCTCGTTCATGCTCCAAATCGGACGGACGAGGCTCTGCCTCTTCTGCAGCAGCAGCGGGATTCGATTGAACAAGGCTCCGGAGCAGAGCATATATAGGAGCAGAAGTAGCAGAGCATCAACATCATCATCAGCATAATGCTGCGAGTGGAGTGGCCTGGCTTCGAGACTGCGATACCGGGCAAAGGCACTGCTGGACGCTTTTTCCCCGGGCCGGAATGGTTCCGGGGTGGCGGTGGTGCTGGTGGTGGTGCCCGGCGCGAGAAAGATGGAGAGAAGTGAAGGTTTTGGGAGAACTCGAATCGGATGAGAGTGTGAGAAGGGCGGGAGAGTGAGAAGGAAAGAGAGGGCGAGAGAGAGCGAGAAAGGCATCATGGCGTTGTTCGCTCTTGAAGGAAAGTCGCCGCGAACAACCGTGAGGAAGTAAACAGAGAGGAAAGTGAGAGCAGTGGTCGCTCGCTCATTGTGGGAGAATGATTTGGCGAGCGAGAGGGTGTTCAGATGTGGTGGTGTAAACTAACACAAATGAGGTTTTGTCGATGTGTTGAAGGATGGAAGTTTTAGCTGTTGAACTGCTCGAATTCAGTTTTTATAGTAAACTAACTTTTGTTGCTTATTGCAGAATCGTCGGCATCGGGAGTTTGGTTGGACATGGCTGGTCGCGCTAAGGTGAGTGTTCTTTGAAACTTAAATAGTAATCAGTTGGAAAGGCCTGATCCGCATCGAAACGTCTGACCAAGAAAACATATTCCTAGCTACTTTGATGCGCTGAAAAACTGCGCAACCAGAGTCTGTGCCAAGGGGCACGAACGGAAATCGGACGTAGGACCCTGATTGGTCGGTGCAATTGTTTTTGGGTTTGATTCTTTTAATTGTTCAAAAATCTTTAGTTTTAGCTCTATAATTGATGACCGTTTGTTGTTTTATCTGGTATTCCTCAAATGGATCGAAGCAGTATCAGAAAGAGAGAATGATTAGGCACTAATGCTGTCAACCTGCTAATCTCGCTGTTGCTGGGATCTTTAATCAAGAAAAATTTGTTATTTATATAATTTTGTAATAATTGTTTCAACAAGCTACCCGACTAGATGGAAATAACAAGATTACATCACCGTGTGTTACGTTGTTAAACTGTTTTTCTTTAACAACGATTGTTATAAACTAGATGCAGGATGTTGTTAAAATATCTAAATTTATAACAAAATTTACTCGAGTCTTAACAAAAAACTAACATATTATGTAACAATCCTATAAAAAAAATATCAAACCAAATTACATTTTTTTAAATAATTTTACTGGTTTATTACATAATGTGATACAACGAATAACAGACTTCTAACACGCTGAGTTACTGGAAATATGTTTCTTTAGAACAAAATTATAATGAAATACGATAGATTCTAAAAGTGGTTTTGTGATATAGTGTATAATATGATTCATATATAAATAGAAACGCGTTTATATTAGTTACCTGTTGGTATTTATTCTTAACATGGTTCAGACCATCATGTTTACATATTAAAAGATAATCATATGTAAGTAAAAAACACATTAAACGACAAAGCAAGATAAAAAACTATTCTTCTCAAATTAGAAGGATGTCGGTAATAAACTTAAACAATTTCTTTAAAATTCAAAATCAAATAATCAAACTGTTGCAAACATGAATCACTTATTGCCAAAGTAGGAAATAACCCGGGCCATTAGCCCATGGCAGTCCTTTGCTTTGATTCCTGCGACAGCAACCGAATCTCCTTGGTACCGTCGATGCTCTACAAAACGTGCTAGAAGAGAAACAAGTTTTTAAGTTTCACGATGTGGGTGGTTGAGTAAAAATCTTACATTCAATATACGTAGATTTATTCGGATCGAGGCGAACCTTCTCTGCATGCTCCATTTCTTGAGATCGTACGCCTCCTTTGCGCCCATTCGGATTATTAGACGTGCGACCGGTAACTGTCAGATTTTGCAGTCCTTCGGGGCAAATATCAAGCATCAGCAACTTTACAAATATACAGTTCATTCCTCCGGCAGTTTCCGAAAATTTCCTCAATTAACCCTTGTCCGGAAATCCTTCGATCTCAGTGAAGACTTCATCCCGTGGCGTTCCAAGCACTTTCGCGTTCAAAGCATCTGTTAATGTAAGGCAACGAATGTTGCTTTCCTCGTTTAAACGTTTCAGCTTCCTGTTTTGAGTTTCCAGAATGTTGTTTTGCAGAATCAGGTTATCAATTTTTGACTGCTGTCCGCAAACACAATCTGTAAGCATTTTAAAAAAATGAAAGAAATTTGTAATATAACGTTTAATATAATATAAATTATAGTCAAATATAGATCAACTAAGATGCAAAAAATCTACCTACCTTCCGAATGGGATGTAGCCTCAAACATAGGAGCTGGTAAATACGTGTTCTGCTCAAAATCATCTGTTAATGTTCTGATATCTGATTGTGGAGCTGATGAGCTTGCCATGATGGTGCGGGCATATGTTTGTTTGCTGGTAAGGGATTTTTCCCCAGCAACCAAAGCACTCACTGGGCCATATTCATCCGTTTGAGCACGTTGATCATCATTTCCCAATGAATCTGAATCGGATCGGAAATGCTGCAATGGTGAGCTCACTACGCAGCCATCCCCTTGGATTGGTTTACTTTCGGATCCGTTGTCATCCCCGTCGCTCTCCATGTCAGAAATCCAGTCTCGAAGGAGGTTCGTACGGATGTCCAGTTGATGTTGGTTATCGTCGGCTTCCATATCAATCAATGGTACACGAATCGCGGCCCGTTTTGCTGCCAAAGTTCCTGCCGTGGTTGGCATTCTCGCTAGTTTCTGATTTGACGGGATTGACGCGACGGCGCGCCCTTTGATACACGGAATAGCTGCTGTGCTAGCCATTTCCTTATGATTGCCAATCTGCTGAGTTGGTCTGGCCATTTTGTTTCGCACCTGTGGCTGAAAGAATGTTAGGTTAGATTTGAGGTTAAGGTGAAGAATCAAGTATTACCTGTTTAGGCTCCAGTAAAAACTACAAATTTTTAGTTTTTGCCTCATTCCGAATGTTTTTCACCTCCTTTTTAGTCACGACCTTTTTTGTCACTGTTCTTTAAGATGTTTTTCCCATTTTGCAGGATTAATAATACACAAAATTACGCTAAAAACTTCCAACAGACTTTGCGGGGCAAGCACGAGAAGAAACAATGACGCTCTCTGGCTGGTGATGGAACGGATGACAGCAACGATGATGCATGGTTGCCATCTATTTTATTTATTTTGAATTTGGAAAAAAAAATCGATTTTCATATTTTTGAACATATTAAAAGCAGTATTAAAAATATTCACGATTAATCATATTTGCGCAAATAATGGTAGAGTACTTTTTAAGTAGGTCATATGTCCTTTCGTCGGTTAAGGAAGTCGCTAGTTTCTTTTCCTTAATACCGCCACATAAGCATGATTTGGTCGGTTTGATGAATGGAATCATAAGCTGGAATAGTGAACTAAATATTGCGGAAACGCTTATAAGACAAATTTAATTGTCTTCGGCGCACTTATTCCTTCGTCCATTGAGGAAAAGTGCACCGAATACACCAAGACGAAAAAAGCGCACTTTTGAGGAGTACAGTTTCAAATGCAAAATTCAATATTTTTTGATAACATTGCAATTCACAATGCAGTGATAGGCAAAATCCACTGATCTATTTTTCAATCGATAAAAACATTCAAGAAATCTTCGAAAAGTACTCCAACATTTAATCATTGTGTGAATTGGATTTTATTTATTTATTGTTTGTGTTATGAAATCATTTGACATCAATAGTATTGGTTCACATATTTTGATATTTTGGCGTTTGTAATCAAAACTCTTAGTGTCAAAAGTGTTTGTCCAAACGTCCAATATATTTATTATGGCCTCAGATAGCCTAGGTATTACCAAGCTGGAGGCGGCGGGTTCGATTATTGGTTCGGTCGAGGGAATCTCTTTGGTTGAACATTTTCTCGACTTCCCTGTGCATAGAGTATCATTGTATTTACCACACAATATACTAATTCATGCATTGGTCGGCATAGAAAACTCTCAATTAATAACTGTGGAAGTGCATCTAGAACACTAAGTTGAGAACAGGCAAAAATCTCATAAAAAGAGCGTAAAAAGCCATATAGAAGAAGAAGATATAAGCAATTAAAAATTCATACGATTTAAGGTTTTGATTCTTGTCCACACAATTAAAATAAAAATAATGTAAAATTAACGTAAGTATTTCATGGCTTGCTTACATTATTCAACGTTTTGAAGGATATTTAGATAAATGTTAATATCATATCTACATTGAGAACTAGACCAAAATTCAGAGTTGAAAAATGACGTTGAAATTAATGTTACTTTAGAAAATTAGAACAAATTTGAATTATTTTGAAACAACTTTCAATATTAAAATAAAAAAGGAATTAAAAATATATTTAAAAAAACGAATGTTCAAATAAGAATGCGAAGAAATGTTTTGCAATTCAAATAATAAAGTATTCTGGATAAAGTATCAAA